GTAACGAGTCCAGGAACGGTGCCTTTTCTCTGGGAACAGAGCCCTGGACGACCGAAGGAAGAGACGAAACCACACAATGAAAACTTGGATAGGCCTCCAATTGCCCCGAAACTTCCTCCTGGGAAATCTTTGATGGTCAATAAGAGCCAAGCACGAAATGTTCCTCGTGACGTGCTGAGTGTTCGTTCTCAGGATGAAGATGTAAACAATTTCGAGAGATGTAACAAGACAATAGAGAAGGAGAGTTCTCATTCGGGGCATAGTGATGAAGCATATGCAGATGCACTCGATACATTCTCCAGCACTGAATCGAATTTCATTAATTGTAGCTCGAGTGGCTTAAGTTCATTGGATGAACTAGAGGTGAAACAATCTGGGACCTTTTCGACGGATCCATTGACAAGAGACTTCATGATGGACCGGTTCCTCCCTGCAGCAAAGGCTATGACTTCAGACACTCTTCAATTTGCCACCAAAAAGCAACCCATAGCTCAAGAAAAACCAAGACAATTAAAGAAAATAGTTAATCTAGATAAGCCTTCAATGCAGCATGGACCTAGTCTTGTAAAGCACTATTTACAATTCCAAGACAATGAAGAAGAAGAAAGTGATGACGATTATGATCAACATGGAAATTTTCCTGCAGCTTGTGGGTTACTACTGCGTTTCTGCTTAAATTACTCATTCTGTCTCATACATCCTGTAACAGCAATGAGCACGAGGAACCGATTACCAAAGTATGCTGCTAATAAATTGCACGATAGATCTTCAGCTGCTAGTTCTTCTTTTAGTAAAAGAGTCGATGAGGTAAAAAAATCATAGCTTTCTTTCTCGTGTCCCCCTCTGTGCTTATGTTTTCTAATCTTTGTCCTGAGGTATTTGATGACTAAGTAGTACATTTTTGGCTGCAGTCTAGGTCTAATTTTTATGATCGAAATTCAGTTGGTAATCAAATTAGTTTGAGAACTGACTTCAATTCAAATACTTGTCAGAGACAGAATACTGATGGATCATTGCTAGGCAGGCAACTTAAAGAACAGAACACATCAAAATCATTCGATGAATCACCTAATAAAGAAAAAGGACAAATCATTTTTCCCGAAGAAACAAAGAATCAGGGGACTAATGGCTTCGGATCACATAAAAAAGGCCGTAAAACCTTTAGGGATTTCTTGTCTGAGAAGGACAGTTCTGAGGAATCAAATTCAGGAATTCCTGTTGTGGAGAAAACTCTGTGTCTCAACGCTGCACAGAGAGTAAAATCTCCGAGCAGGGAACCTTTTTCTGCCAATATGCAAGGGTCGAATGAACAGACTGGTTCAAGAGAAAAAGAGTATGAAGTTGTTACTAAAATGATGGATCAATCCCCTTCAGTAGATTATTCTCTTACAGATACCGATAAGTTGGAAACTGTAGATGGAGCAAATTTACTGCCTGACTCTCAGAAATATAACATCGTTGTAGAATCTTCAACCAGCAATTCAAATCAAAAAGGCGGAATAGAGGCATCCAAGGATTCAACTACTGCAGCAAATATGGAGGTGACTGATAAGAAAGCTACTGAATCTTTACAGAAGCAGACAGCAACAACAGAAAATCGAGAAAACTTTCACCGAAGTGGATTACAGTTTCCCGTCCCCCCACCTTCACCAATATCTCCATCCGAGTCTTGGCTTCAACAAACTTTGCCTTCTATGTCCACAAATAATTCATGTAAACGATCACATCTTCGTGCAACAGAAAATCCTCAAAAACAAATTTCCAAGGTATTACTAGATCTCAAATGGAAAACTCTTGTTTAAATTTTTTTTTATTCAGAGGTAAATTTGCTCATCACTTTTACTAATTAAAATAATTCTCTTAACTCATTTCATATGTTTATACAGGATAACATCTAATCCTAACAGGAGCTTTTGACTGCAATCCTCGGGCTCGTCTTCAGCCATTCTGTTGCCAAATCCATTGGCCCTTTCGTAATTAAGTGTCACAGTGAAGGTTTTTCACTTGTATAGAGTCGTTTAGATTGTGAGTTCTACACACTCATATATCATATACGTAAATAAAAACATAGTAGAAAAATAATACATAGATGCCCAAACGCTTTGTCTATGTTGTCATCTTTTGCATGCATCGTGCTTAAGACATCTCAATGTGAGAGCTACGTTCACAGATGAAGTGATTTTACGAGATTCTTGAAAGGCATAATTAGTACATATTATGGGAAGCATTTGTAAATAACAAGATTTGTCTTTATCTTTTTGCTTTTACCCTATAATCTCATGTCTCCTAGGTTGATGGTAATTAAAAACATAGATTGCCAGGAAATGCTTTCTTTTTGATAAGTAGACTTTGAAAAAATGTCACTTTTCCCTTTAAAATTTGTGGTAGACTGTGCCTAAATTTCTTTAAAGCTCCTGTCAAAATTCTTGATTGGAGCTTTTACAGCGGCAACCATGGGAGTTCAGCGCTCAGAATAGCCCACAACTTTTAGGACAAAAATTACTAGTAAACAATATATTAAGATGGTGACTGTAGTCTGTAGTTGTTGTTTCCATTATGTTTATATCCCCGTCTGAGAGCCATTAAAATCCAGAATAAAACATTTTCAATTCAAATTATGTGAGCCCGAATACAGTGAAAATGTTGAAAAATGTCACGAAAATACAAATTTGAAATTGACTTTTCCACATCCTATTTTTATGTTTCCTTTTACATTCCATATTTACCCCCAAATATGCAGTGTTTGAGGGATTTGGGCTAATTTTGGGGGGAATGAATGGTAGGGTAGATTCGTAATTTCAACCCAATGAGGATAGAATAGGTTAAAAGCAGTGCAATAGTGCAATCAAGATTTCTACCAAATGTCATTTCTTATAGAATTTGAGAGAGGCTAGGTGTACCGACGGTGAGTGACAAACACCCTGACCGACCTCTCACATTAGGGGAGTCCACATTTTTTTTCAATTTTTTATTCATGGGGGGCTAGTCATCATGTGAGAGTTTGTCAACTTTCTTGTCAAATTTTTTTTGTACAAGTAGGTTTTTTTTTCAATTTGTTATGATAAAGTACCGTTGAGAAATTTGCAATGATTGAGAAATTTGCATTCTCATTTAAAATCTAATTTTAACGAGATTCAATCAGAGGTTACATAATTTCGAGACCCAATAAATTCGATGATAAGATCGCAACTTTTTATATTTTCCAAGTCTTTCTATGATATGTTTGGTTTAAGCTTAAGAAGTTGGTGTAAGTTTCAAACTGAGTAAAATTTTTGCTACAATAATAACTACTTATTTTTAAAATAAGTAATTATTTTACTGTAACTCTGTAAGTAAGGAAAAAGTAATTTATTCAAATACTTTTGCTTCTCAAAAGGGGGGCCATTCACAATGGTAAAAGAAGGAAGTGGAGAGCGGTTCAACAGCATCAAATGGAATATGTCAAAAGCATTTTTTTTTTGCAAAGATGTTATTTTCATAATCACTTATATTCAATCAAATTATTTATGTTTGTTTACTTTTTTAAAACCCCACGACATCTTAGTATGGTAATAAAAAAAATAAAATAAAAAAATTTGATTGGATTAGGGCCTACGTCTAATTTCGCAAGCACATGTTGTCCATAATTAGAATCTTTTGTCCCACGAGATACATATATTACAAATTTAGAAAAATAATTGATACCAACTATTAGCTTGTGAACCTATCTTATTATCAATTCTCCATCAAGTGGGGGTCGAATATAATATAAAACGATGTACATTTTATCTTTATCTAACTATTTAAATTTTTAATTAAGTGGTTTAAAGTTTGAAACAGGTAACAAAACATGTAAGGTCTCACTGCTGCCCATTTAAATTAATTGTGCACATACGAGATTTTGATGAGAATAAATGTTTCGTTTACACGTATGATGATGTGTTGAAGATAATATTTTAATAATATACATTTAGTCTTATCTGATTGTTTAAGTAGGTTGACCTTTTAAGATGAAAAATCTTAGCCAATGTTTGGGATTCATTTTATTCAAAATACATTTTTACTCTCTTCTTTTTAATCACATTTTCAAATAAAATAATATTACACGTAAATCTAAAAATTTTATTCTTTTTAACTACACATTCTTCGAAAAATTACAATTAAAAAAAAAAAATTCTTCGAAATTTTGGAGCCTATTCGAGTCCCAAAATATTAAGAGTGCATTTTTGAATAATAGATTAATGGAGAATGTATTGTTAAAAAATAATGAAAAGTTTTTGATTTTTGTATAATATTATTTTATTGAAAATGTGTAGTTGAAAAGAAAAGATAGAAATATATATTTTGAAAAAATTGAGAATCAAATAAGGACTTGATATGAATGGATCCCAAATAAGAGCTTAATATGCTATAAAAGTCCCGAACAACTCCATCAAACTAAGACTCAAATGAACATACAAATTTCAAGATTAGTATTTTCAAATGAGCCATTTTCTTGTATGAACATGTTAGGGAATATTACATGTTGTCACGGTTACAATGGACATTATAACCCTGTCCAGTGTGGACAAAATATCAAACTAATCAATTTTTATCCTTTTTAGAATATTTTAGGGATACATTAAGGGTGTGTTTGAGCTACATTATTTTGAAAGAATGTATTTTGGAATAATAGATTGATGGAGAATGTATTGGTAAAAAAGAAGAAAAGATTATTGATGCGATTGAAAATATTATTTTATTGAAAAACGTGTGATTGAAAATAAATAGAAGAATGAAAATGAAAAATTTATTGTACAGAGGGACTCCTAATTGTTGAGTATCAAACAACGTTACAAGAATCCAACCGACAGTTTGACCGTTTGAAAAAAGCCGTAAAAATGGGGTTTTTTTTTTTTTTTTTTTCCCTATTAAGAAACCCAATATACTATAAGAAAGCCATAAAAAATAGCAAAATAATTGGGGAAAATAGCTGCACATATTCGCGTAGAGGGAGAGAGTGTGTGTGAATGCAAAATCACATGGCCTCGTTGCCACTGGGACCTCAGCCCCATCAGCATAATCCACCGTCCGACCTTCAATATCATCATCATGCTCCGCCACCAGCTGCCGCTGCTCACAATAAGGCCGATCAGGTACCTTGCTTATACATATATTTATATGTTGATTTTCTGTCCTTTGCTGCCGCATTCTGTTTCCTACATGAAAATCGAGCTGGGTTCCTCTTGGTTTACCTCGATCTAGCTGAGAAGCTTCAGTTTTGCTCGATCTTTGCTTTTAATTCTTTGACGAGGATTAGAAGAGGTTGCCGAGGGTACATTCGTAGAATTTTTGGGCGATCTGGGAGTTTGTACAGTTCTTTGGCGTTTCTACTTCTAGGTCTGAAGTTTTCAACCGGATTTTGGAGTTGTTTTCTTTTCTTGCTTTTAATTTATGGGCTTAATGAATTCGTGTATTTTTGTGAATATTTTAATTATGATTTATCTTTTCTTTCTTACAATTTCTGGGCTCTTTACGAATTGATCAATTTAGTGAATATTTTCACCTGTCGAGGTACATTATCTTTTTGTAAGGTTTACCATTAGTTATCTTTCCTTTTTTAGAATTCTAGATTTTTCTTTCTTTTTATCTGTATTATATTTACGTGCAATGTTTATACAAATATGGTTATTCTTTCCCGCTATTGATAGATCTGTAATGTTCTACATGGCTCATATTTATGTTAACGTGATTGTTCTTTAAATTGGTTTTTGACTAATGTAGTTTGTTTTTTGAACTTGCTTACTTCCTTTTGGTAAAGTTTTTTGCAGCTTTTCTTTAACTTTAGATGAATCGTGCTTGAATCTGATAAATTGAGGTTTGCTTCAAGTGGTTGGCTGACGGTTGATAAATTGTGATGCTTCATTGGAAGCCCTAGTTTTTGCCAAACATTGCTTCTTCTTCTTCGTCTTCAATTTTTTTTTTTTACGTGTGTTCCAAGCAGAACATACCTCTCTAAGCCTTGTGCTTTTTGGGTTCCCAAATCGCATTCCACAAGGCTTTTTATGGTTCTATGGCTGATAATATGGTACTACTCATATGAAGCTTTTGGTGCTAGGTTGGTTGTTCTTAGTGGTTGTCATATTTGTTTTATGCCTGATGCTTTGGCTTGTTTTGCAATGCAGGAGATGCAGGCTTCTGTAGTTGATGTGAATGATCCAATCACTAGCCACATTATATCAACTACAATTGGAGGCCAAAATGGAGAGCCCAAAAGGGTTGGTGTTTGAACTTCATCTTTCAAGTCCCATAGACCTTGTCTATTGAATGTTACAAATGTTTTAGAAGTAGTCAGAGGAACTTTGTAATGTTTTACATAATGAGACTTATGCACAATTGGTTACTTCTGTGGGCTATCTAGTTGATCAGAGCTAAGAGGTCTGCTTGTGATTCTTTCTGCAGACAATTAGTTACATGGCAGAGCGTGTTGTGGGCACAGGATCGTTTGGAATAGTTTTTCAGGTCTGTTGTCCTGATATATAATATGAATGCTTATCATTTCTCCTCCGGCCTCTTAATTAATGAGTTTCAGTCACTCTTCACTAGGCGAAATGCTTGGAAACAGGAGAGGCAGTGGCCATAAAGAAGGTTTTGCAGGATAAGCGCTATAAAAACCGTGAACTGCAGTTAATGCGCTTGATGAATCATGCAAATGTGATATCTCTGAAGCACTGTTTCTTTTCTACAACAAGTCGGGATGAACTTTTTCTTAATCTAGTCATGGATTATGTCCCTGAGACCATGTACAAGGTTTTAAAGCATTACAGCAGTTCAAATCAAAGGATGCCCCTCATATATGTCAAACTCTACACATATCAGGTTTCACTCATCGTGTTCTGATTTTTCTGGGTAACTTATCTATGATTCTATTATATCTAATTCAGATATAATTACGCACATATTTTTCAGTTATTTAGGGGGCTTGCATATATCCATACAGTTCCGAGGGTATGCCATAGAGATATAAAACCTCAAAATGTTTTGGTAAGCTTCCTCAAGTCTTCTCCTCTTTCCTGCTGGCAACCCAATTCCACCACCTGTCAGATTGTGTTGGACCATTTGGTATTTTATGTTAAAAGTAATCGTATGTGTTGTCTGCAGGTTGATCCTCTTACCCACCAAGTCAAGATTTGTGACTTCGGAAGTGCTAAAGTTCTTGTAAGTTTATTGTCTTTCTAGTTAGGCACATCCTCTTAATTTGTTGGCTTTGCTGTCGAAACTCCCTTAATCATTATTTAGAGGCATCTTTGAAGTGCTTCTATCCATGTTTCATGTGAATATTCATATGTGAATTATTGGATGTATGCCTAATATACTATACACTTTTCCTGTTGGCGAAATTTTGAAGTGTTACAGGGGCACTTTGGAAAATTCACAAATGTATTAGGTTGCTCTAATATTTTCTTCCTAATTAAGGTATTAGGAGGAGCCTACACTCTCTGTATTATAGGAGGGAGGGAGTCCAAATATATTGTAATTATTTTCTTCGATATAGTGCAACTTTGCAGCGCAAATGTGTAGCAGTTCTGACAGTGAGGGTGAAACAAATTAAATTACGCGTTATTCTTGCTTTCGTTTTTCTTATTTTGCATTATTGATTGCTCTAAAAAATACAGATTATTTGTTAGGTCCATGCATGAATCACATCATCATCATGTTTTTTTTCTTATGGTAGATGTCAATTACCACCTGGAGAGGAATATAAATTTCTATCCAAGAAAACCAACAAAGAATGACTGTCTTATAAGAAATATATTGCCAGGTTGTTTTAGAGTTTTCAGGGCTAAAAGAATTAGAAATCTTATGATTGTAAAAATATGAAGTAACAAAGAGAAGGAAGAATAATAGGGAAGATTAGGGAAGATGTGTACAATGTTGGTTGGAGAAGAAAAAACGTGCTTTGAGAATTCCCATTATGTTCAGTTTATTACACCCATATGCCTTAGACCGAATGCTCCCATTGTAAGAGAAGGGTTGGTGCGGTATTCCATGGAGTGAGGTTTACTAATTGTTGAGTGTGTTAGTTTTAGGTGAACATTAATTTCCACCGGCACTCCAAGGTTGTATTGATACTTCAGTCTGCAGGAAAAAGCGAGGCATAGCCATATATTTTGTAGTCTTCATCGTTATCTACAGTTTGACATATCATTATCATTGATTTACATGATTTTTAATATCATTTTGCTCGTAGAGCATCTTTTTAACTGTTAAAACATAACTTATTCTTCCAAGGGTTTTTTTTTTCTATGAATTTTCACTAGTCCATTTAAAATTTGTGATAATCAGGTGGAGGGTGAAGCTAATATATCCTATATATGCTCTCGTTATTATCGAGCCCCAGAACTCATATTTGGTGCAACAGAATATACGACGGCAATTGATATCTGGTCTGCTGGTTGCGTCCTCGCTGAGCTTCTACTGGGGCAGGTTTGGGACATACATGTTAAGGCATCTTGCTGAGTAATATTTTAGTCTTCTATTACATTTTTCTTACGTTTTCACTATGTTTTTTTGTGGGGAGGTAGCCTCTTTTCCCTGGAGAAAATGCAGTCGATCAACTTGTAGAGATTATCAAGGTGCATCCTTCTCTATAATACATTTCTATGGAATCTAAATACCAGTATTTGTGTTGTTCCTTTAACTAATTGCAAGACTTTCTCGAGTAGGTTCTTGGTACTCCAACTCGAGAAGAAATTCGATGTATGAATCCAAGTTATACCGATTTCAGGTTTCCCCAGATTAAAGCTCATCCGTGGCACAAGGTATGGTTGCAGTTATACATGCTATTTTCTCAGTGATTTATACCAAAATATTCAGTTAAGAAGTAGATGATGGAGTCTTTGGTGCAGGTTTTTCACAAGCGGATGCCTCCTGAAGCCATTGATCTTGCTTCTCGACTGCTTCATTACTCTCCAAGTCTTCGCTGCACGGCTGTATGTTTAATTTCAAGTCACTCTTGTGAAGTTCTACCGAAAGTCTTCCTTTACAAGTCTATAGACTTGCTTCTCATCAATTTATGGGATATGTTTAAATTCTTTAGTCCCCCAACCCACAGAAGAATGAAAAAAAAAAATGTTTAATGAACTGTCGACCATTTTATATTTTAATTAATTATCTTCTACAATAATTGTTAATAAAATTTAAGGAAATGTTGTTCTGTCTCTGCAGCTAGAAGCATGTGCCCATCCTTTCTTTGATGACCTTCGGGTGCCGAATGCCCGCCTCCCAAATGGTCGTCCTTTCCCCCCTCTTTTTGACTTTAAACAGGAAGTATGTTTTCTAACTATTTTCATTGCCTTCTGTAATAATATTACTATTTTTCTGGCTCTTCCCTATATCGAGAAAAATTCCTGAGTGTCCATGCATTTCACTATGTAATTGCCTGAAGTTGCCGTATTTCTGTCATATCAGTAAAAGTAAGCTGGCATGCCCAGCTTCCCTAAGATTTGTCGAGCCGCTTGAAAGTATTCACTCCATTTACTTTTGTGTGAGGGGATTTGTGTGGCCTTCAGGGATTGCCTCTTTTTCAATTTTAAACATAGATCTATCCCCATACAAAACTAATGAAAGTTTACATCACAACTTCCCATTGACAAGGGAGAGAGAATGGGCCCATTCTCAAGTTTGCTTAATAACAGAATCCAAATATTTTTGAAGTTATATGCTTATTGTGGAGAAGGAAAAATATATACTCTCGTCAGATAGTTCAAATGCACAAGACTGACAATCAAAATTAACATACAAATAAAAGTAGAGATAAAAGACGACTACTTGGTGTGCATCCTATCATCTTTCTATTGTTTTTTTGTTGATAGAACTTTTTGGTTGTCACTAGAGAATTATAGTTAAATTTATTTTCTTCAAGAATCAGATTACTTGTAAATTCTGTAACAAAATCTTATAACAAAAGAACAATTGATTTTATTTTTTTGAAAGGGAGCTTGAACATTCTAGATTTTTGGTTTCTAATTCACCTTTTACTTCTTCGTTCTTTTGTTGCTACCCCTTGTCTTCTAATTATTTATTGACATTATGAATTAAGTAGATTCTGTATTGAATTTTTATTTTCTGACTCAAGACAATTACAAGAGTAGTGAGCATATTTCATTTGTCCATTTGACCACGTGAAATGGCTCCTTCGATTTCATGATCAACTCATGATACTCATTTCATTCGCTGTTCTTTTGCACTGTCTTGTCACATTTATGGGTTTTCTCCTAGCTCAATGAGTTTATATTTTACCTCTTTAGCATGCACTTATTGATTGTTTAGCATCAATTCTCCTTGTTACAGTTGGCTGGAGCATCACCGGAGTTGATCAACAGGTTAATACCAGAGCATGTCCGAAGACGAGCTAGCTTGAGTTTTCCCCATCCTGCTGCTACATGATTAATGGGGTTACATAATCATCTGTTCATTTAGTTGAAGGATATGTAGCTAATTGGTTAATATCGTCAGGCCTTTTGGCCCAAGTCGGTAGTTTTTGACGCTCCTAATCCTAAATGATGTGTGCACATTGTGGCCGTTCTGCTTTATTAGAAAGTTGCTGAGTTCTATCTGGTATGTCCTCTTAGCTACGAAAGTTTCATGGTTATTGTATATTGTTTTGATTTTGATCGAGATTTTGAAACTTAGGCATTCAAACGATCGTACTACTTTCAAATTGTGTAGTTTTTGTTTGTCACTTCACTTCTGATGAGTTGCTTTTACATACTAATTTTCAGATTCTTAAAAGCCCTATTGAGATTACTGTTCCTTCCCTCCCTGTTCTTACAACATTTTACGAATTTTTCACATTAATGCTAGTTTGAGACGGTGGTCGAACCAGTTGTAAACTCGAAGGCTTACAAAACTCGAGTTTAATTATAAGTAAAATAGTAATATTATACAAAAAAAAGTCTTTATTTTATTTTTCTATTTTCTCATTAACACATTACTTGTCTATAAAAACGAGGATTTAGAAAGGTTACAGTGGGTAGACAATTAATAAATTTTTTAATGAAATTTATGTCAAATTTCAAATGAGTTCTCAGGAAAAAAAAAAATCAACTCTTACCGGCAAAAAATTACCCTAAAAAATATCCCAAACAATACACAGGATATGGTAAATAATATAAAAATTGAGGCGAAAAAGAAAAAGAAAGGTTAAGGGTCGTTCTCTTTGTCGTTTTCGGGCCGTTTTCTGTTTTCGATTGTTCAAAACAGTGAAAACACGTTCTCTTTCCCATTTTCGAGAACGCGTTTTGGAAAACAAGTTAAAAATTTACAAAAAAAAAAAAAAGTCAAAACAACAATTTGTCGTTTTGAGTGTTTTCAGTTATAATCAAATTAAAATTTTCAAAATGCGTTTTTGGTGTTTTCAAAACAAATTTTTAAATTGTCAAAAAGAACACATTTTCAACAATCTCAAAATGGACACTCAAAACACAAAACCCAAAATGAATTGAAAACTTAAAACACAAAATTGAAATACAGAGAGAATAACCTCTAAAATTTTGTTTAGCCTTTTTGACATAAATATACTATAGTTCACATTATCATGAATTAGTTATGGAAATCCTTGTCTTGCTTTTATAATTATATCTATACGTTTCCAAATGATATTACAATGACAGGCCAATCTTTATATATATATATATAAAGTTTTGTGGCACATAAACAANTATATATATAAAGTTTTGTGGCACATAAACAACAATTTAAAACTATAAGGGCCTGAGTACAAATTCCATGCCCTAACAGTTGTACAAGGAAAGGTCATCGAAGAAACACGGAATGGGAAGGCACCTATATAAACCATCCCTATTTCTCAAACACAATTCATCCTCCCCATTTTCATTTCATGGCCTCAATTTGGGACGCCTTTTAATAAAGAATTCCTTCCCAATTTTTCTTCTTGCTTTTGTTCCTCTCTTCTTAAAGTTTTCAGAGAGAAACGAAAGCCAGAAAAATGGGAAAGTACACGGAGATATTAGATGCTGGTGTTAGAATTGTTTGCAGGTTTCATTCTCACTGCCCACAAACTGGCAGGATGTACTACCACCCTCCACCTGTCCCACATGACGGCCACCACCAATCCCACCCACATGATGGTGTTTCCAGCAGCAGCGCCGCCGTGGATGGCTCGGTCTGGATGGGGTGTTCTGGATCTAAGACTGGTGGCGGATTTGATGCTACTGACTTCATTCTTTTTACGGTTGCTTAATATTCGAGAAAAAAATAATCTTATATTCATGATTTATACGGCCCTGTTATTGAGAAAGTTGTTCAATTCGAGGGAGTTATGAATTCAAGAATTTTGTCCATTTTTTCCTGTTTTCCGGTGTTGACTATTTGCAATAATTGACAGTTTTTTTATTTCCATGTTCATGAACCTAATTATTATTATTTTTTCCCCATGTTCATGAACCTAATTATTATTAATGAGAACGTGAAAATGAATGCACAGTTTCAAGAATTAGTGAATATCAGAGGGCCACCGGCATTCAAAGAACATTGTAAGTGTATTAATGTTTGGTATGTTTGCTAAGCATAGGTGTTTGATCCCAATTTTTTCAAATTCATTTTCAACCATATATTCTCTTAATAAAGTAATTTTACATGCAAACTTTAAACCACATATTCTCTGAAAATTCACTATTCTAAAATATATTTTTATCAAATAATGATGTTCAAACAAGGCACCTTAACACCTTTTTTCTTGATAGCATGCTTTAGACATGAAGGTTTGGGTATTCAACCCATTTTATTTATGAATTGGTTTGACAATTTTGCCCTATAATTTCAAGTCACATTATAGATATTAATATTTATATTATGTGAAGACTCGAATTCACATATATAAGTCGTTGATCTGACAACACAAATTGAAAAGTTAGGGGAATCAATCCTTATTTTCCCTAATTTACTTGGGTATGTTTGATGGGCTTTAAATTCCATGGAACTTGGAATTGAAGTTCCATTTTCCACAAAATGACTTGTTTGATCATTGATGTGTAAAATTTGGATGGGAATTGGTTTTTTTAATCTGCACCCACGCCTCTTGTTTTCCCTTATTTTGGGGGAGGGAATTGATTTTTCAGTTGACTGCCTTTATTTATTTATTTTTTTGACAATTGAAACAAATTTCATTACAAATCGTAAAAAAAAATTCATTTTAATAGACAATTTCCATATAAAATAAAGTCAAATGAACACTAAACTTTGATTAAAAAAAATGATTTTTTAGGAAAAAAAAATATTATTTTTTTTTACTTTTTGGCAATGGAATCAAATTTTATAATCAACTGTGAAAAAAATTATCATTTTAATTGACAATTTTCATGTAAAATAAAGTCAAACGAACACAAAATTTTAAAATTTTCCAGGTGGAAAGTTATATCAATCAAACACACTTAATTAACAATTCTCTGCAAAACAATTTCTAGGCAATTACTTTCTCTAAAATTCATTTTCTTTCCACCTATTTTCCACCATTGCAATCAAACGGACCCTCAAAGAAAAGAAAATAATGTTGCAACTAGTCTAATTTTGTCCAATTCTCTTAGTCCGGGACCCATTTTGAAGCAAGTTTTTGGCAAAAATAAAGCCCTTATACAGTGTTTTGTCAAAGAGTTGAGCCGTTATTTTTTACTAAATTAAGTGAAATTATCAATGTGCCATTCACATAAAGTTCATTCTCCTTTAAAAAATGACAATTTCGATAATTTGGCAATATGTGAATTCAATATTACTGCAAAAATCGACCCCAACTACTCGTCAAATGGTAAAAAAAGGTATTAAAATCTGGTCAAAATGGATCCCAGACGCGCTTAATATAGTTGTGTTGTAAAGTGTTGGAAAATATATTATTTGGCAAATGAATTTTCACTTGTGTATGTGAAATTAATCCCACATTGATTGAAAGATGGGATTTGAAGAGGAGCCTTAAAAGGGATTAACAAGTTGATTGAGGTCGATTTTGGAAGTGGTTTATGGTGTTTGTGGCGGTGTTGATTTTGGCAGTGGTTCATGGCGTTTGTGGCGGTGTTGTGGTGGTTTCTTTAAAAAACTATTATATGTAAAATATTGTTTTGAGTTTCAAAGTAAACGTGTTTTCTAGTTCCATGTTCTCAGAAATAGTTTTCCAAAACAACAAATAGAACTCATTTTTAGCAATCTCAAAACGGACACTCAAAACACAAAATATAAAACGAATGCAAAACAGAAAACTGAAATACAAAGAGAGCGGCACCTAATTGTTTAAAATTCACGTCTTCCAAACCTTGTCTAAATTTAAAATGATATGTCCAATTAAGCCTCTATTTAGCTTTCATTTTTTTTACAATTTTTATTTTTAACTACACATTTTTGAACAAAATAATTTTTTATGTAAAGGGATTTGGATATACTCTGTAAAAAAATTTGAAAGTTGAGATCGCAACTGCAACTATTTCTTTTTCATTTTGGCAATTTTTATTGTTTTTAACGATTAAACTAACAGAATTGGACAGTAAAGGGTGAATCGCACATCAAAGTTCATACACGAGCATTTTTTACACCTCCTACAAATTTCATACATGAATGTTTTTTTGTCAATTTCAAAAGGTCGAGTGTTTTGGACAAATGGTCTCAAAGGTTAATGCGCCGATAAGCCATAGCCATAAATCAAAGAAAGGGGTAAAGCAGGCATTTTATATCCCAACAAAGCAAACACGAAACCCTAATACAACCCCAACCCCTTCTCATAGGGTTTCATATATTTTCCTTACCTCTATCGCTTCTTTCAGTTTGTCTAGAAAATAAACCAGCATCGCTGCCGTCATCTACCCGCCATGGTCTCTCCATCATTCCCTCTCTGTAATTTCATGTGTATAAACGTATTCATGTATGCATATGCATATAAATTCCTCCCTCACTTTTACGTGTTTGAAAGCAGGCGTCAGAGAAGAAGCTGTCGAATCCGATGAGAGAGATCAAGGTACAGAAACTCGTTCTCAACATTTCCGTCGGCGAGAGCGGAGATCGTCTCACCAGAGCCGCTAAGGTACAGTTCACTCCTACGTATTCTTGTGCACCCGAACCCACCATTTTTAATCATTATTGTTGTTTATCTTTGTAGTTTGGTGTCTAAATTATCTATTCTTTAAAATCCATTTCCAGGTCCTCGAACAGCTCAGTGGTCAATCCCCTGTTTTCTCCAAGGGTACTTTTCTCAGTTTACGGTTTGCTGATTTTAATTTTATTTTTATGCTCATTTAAATTGGCTTCCCAAAAAGACAGAGTTGTGCTATTAAAGTTACTTCACTGGCATGACTTGTAGCTCCACAGATTATTTTATTTTTGTCGGAAGGAAATATGACATAGTTTCATTATTTTTCTGTTAAATAATTGATTCGATTGAAAATCAT